CGTTAGCCAGACACAAGCATGGTCACAAAGGCACCGAGTCTGTTCGCATGTCGCTAACAGTACAATACGTTCCTGCCTCATTACAGTCAAAAAACATAACTTTGTTGGTTTTAACAAAGAAAGGTTAAATAAAAGTGAATGGTGCAACACTGCTAATAAGCTACAACACAACAGCCTCCTCCATTTTTGCCATAATATAATAATAATTAAGCCATCCTAAATGTTGGTGTGACCGAGGATGCACGGGCCACCGTTTATGGAAAAAGATGTTGCATTAGTCATTAAGATTTTTTTCATCAACTTTGAGAGCACTACATACAAAATTCCATTCACCTCTCAGACTCGGAAATGCTAAACATCTTATGAACAACGTTAAGCCGACAGTGGTGAGGTCAGCACAGGTAGGGTTATACTATACTCAATCATCAACTATTAACCCCAAAACAGAAATGGTCCACACTAATCTCTCTGCCGTCCTTTTTAGTTTCAGGGGCCTGTCAGTCACATCTGAGGTCCTGCACAGAGCAATGAGCTTCTCAGGTATCTTGGAGGTCCTGTGCTTCAGTCCCTGTGGTGTAGCTGCCGTCACATGGAGGTAACTCTAGCAGACTCAATATTAATGACCAATGACCAGGGCCTCCTTGTAATCCACTTACCGTCATTACACAGGGTCAGCGTGGCTACTGCTGCTGGGCTCTCATACCCCAGCTGGACGCACTGCCGCATTCCATTTGAGTGGCGTATAGTTGGAAGATGGAGAAACACTGTTTTGCTACTTACATTTGCATGTATTGGGTTTTACAAAGTTGCGCAAAGCCATTCCAATGGCAGCGCTGCTGGAAACCTACGAGGATAATGCAGACTATTGAAAGAATGCGTCATTGCAATGAAAAACAGACACATTTGGAAAGCAGGTACATTTTTTTTTTTTTTTGCCTTTCTCACTCACCCTAACAAGGGGAAATCATGGCAGTGTTGGGACTAATTTGTAGCACACCGAGGAAGGTCCTGACCTCCAGAGTGCTCCAACTTTAAAGATGACAGTTCAGAGTCTGTGTAATTAAAGCTGCTTCGATAGAGGCCAACAAGGCTCGGGGGAAGGCCGTGGAGAAAGTTTAAGAAAATACAGGTGGACAGCTCCGAACTCCTCCAACATAGTCAACGCCTTTGTGCAACCTCGGCCCCCGTATGCTGCTTTAGCTCCACATGTCAGAGGAATTTTTTTTTTTAGCGCAACGGACCCTCCAGATGAACTTTTACCCCTTGGTCTCGCTCTCAAAATGTGGACGCGGAGACGAGTTAACCTGCACAGCCCCAGCGGGCAGCGTGTAAACACGTCAACCCGCATTAATGACCACGGCTGTTGGACCGAGCGTGTTATGATTGCCACATATTCTCATCAGGGTGAAAAAGGCGTTTTCTGGCCCGCGGAGGAATGAAGGGCATCCCCTGTTCACTCCCCCTCTACGTTACAGTTCTTAAAGTCCTGTAATTGAGAAATACAGCTCAAGGTAATGTGCCCCGAAGACCTTTGCCTACAGACATGAGGTAATGGTGGAGGCTAATTCGGCTGAGGAGACAGGGTGGGCGGAAGCTCCTGGCCTAAAGCCCCATTAGTCTACAGAAGTCTCCCTCTGGTCAAGGGCATTTACCCGGGGATGAGGAAAACAGAGCGGCATCGCTGGCTCGCTCCTACGGTAAAGCCGCGGTGATGGACTGAGTCACCACATGAAAGGCTGGGCAAGGGCAGGATGGCGGAACGCCGAGAGAAAGTGAAGCGAGAGGCTCCATAAGAAAGGCCTATTCAGGATGAGCGCTTATGAAAATGATGAGAGATCTCAGCGGGAGCATGGGTCCCCCCTTCCTTCTTACCTCGCCTACCCTCTTCTGATGCTGAAGACAATTTGTCTTGCTACACGGGCGGGACTTATCACATGGAGTCTCGTTTCAGGATATTGGCCCTGACGCTGTAATTTGAACGCAGTAAATCTAAATGATTGCAGCATATATCGTAAGGCGAGACTTGGGACGTTTCGCTTTAATGGTTTCCGAAATGTGTCAAGTGGACATAGCGGGAACCGCTCTGACATGTCGCTGGGCCCGGGACAGGACGGGATTTCGGACTTTTCCACGACTTAATCCCACCTTGTTCGTCTACTGGGCCCACTTCTCCTCCTGCCTCGGCCCCCGCTTGTCTAGCTCTGGGCCCTCAGCTCCCAAACAATGGGTTCAGTTAATAAAGGATTTATGGACGTAAAAATAAATACATCAAAAGGGCAAGAAAGAGACCGATTCATGAGACATTACTGCAACGTTAATCCACGGGATCTGAGATAAAAGCCGAACTTCGCTCACAATAAATCCTCAGATTCCCAAACGATTATAGTTGTCGGACCAAAAGGGGGTGGGGGGGTTAGACAGGAGGGCAGGTCTTTGATTCGGTGAGCGCCAGTGTTCATGTCTGAGCTGTGGAAGCCATCGCTTGGCCTTAACTCACATGGCAGCTCACTCTTCAAGAGATGACGGAGGAAGATGAATAGAGAGAATGAGGGATTTCTTATCTTAAATCAGTCAGGGGCTGCAGGCAAACTTTTATACAACGATATGAAGATTTATGAGAGTGTCTTTTTTTCTTTTCTTTTGCTACTACTTACTGTAGGGCAGTGGCATTTACCGTTCCGTTTTATCCATCATATATGCACAGGCACAAATGTACACACATAGTATATTTCAGTATTACATCATAACTCAGCGAAAGTACCTTGGCATATGTGACCGATTCCTCTCGTTATCCGTGTCGGGAGAAACCTAATCTGCGAACACGTGTTTCTGTCGTCCCCATTTTTAAGGAGAATAAAGCACAGCGTCCGGGCTCCCATCGCTCTTGACAGCAGCGTGGGCTACTTGAAGCGCAGACTGAAGACACGTCAAGGAACCAGGAAGCAAAACAGCACGTCCGTTACCAACTGCGATGACGGTGAATCAGGCGCTCATCGTTCGTTAACAGGAACAGGTCTCGGGAGTCCAGGGAGCGTCACTCCCCTTTTAGGGCGACTGGAGAGCTATCAAAACATAACTCGACACACTTGGAGCCAAATAAGCGCATGGGAAACCATACAGTGTGTGACGTACTAGGTGAAGACAAACTTGAGTGTAAGGGGTTGAAGCGAGGACTGAAGAATACTCAAAATACCGGAGAGGGAACCAGCTACATCGGCTCCTTCGAGTCTGAGACTGGGACACCTTTACTCTAGAGATCCCTGGCAGAAAAAGAAAGGTCGTAAACCCTGGTCCGCCCTTTGGTGTGACGACGTGAGAGGAAACGGGCTCCATTTACACTCACTTAGAACCTTCAGAATGTCCCTGTCCACGCATTCCCTCGACCGCCAAACTACCCAGGACAAGGCAAGTGTGGCGTCCGCCTCGTGCTGAACATGCTTGAAGGGGGAAACCTTTCTCACTCACTAAACTTGCCTGAGATCAGAGGGCATGATGAGACACATACGTACAGCTGGCAGCCTTCCAGTCCACCCCCCCATCACTCTGTTATTCCAATTAAGAAGAAAGACAGAGTGAGAGAAAGACCTGAAGAGAGATCAAGACGTGGAATAATAACGGGTTCTTCTCTTTCGGACTGAGACTGAGTGAGTGCCGTTACCTTCTCCTGACCTTGCCGTGCCACCGCCTGCTCCTCAACCTCACTGCATCCTTATCCGCCCCCCCTCCCCCTCTCCACACAGCCATCAAAGTTAACACAGCGGAAATGTGAAGGTTAGGCAACCTGATTTGGACCGGTGGGGGATTTTTGTTGGAACCTCATCAAGCGGAGGCCCGTTGAATCCTCCAGTGGGTCGCTGGTTTGAAGGCCGGACTTCTCAGGAGCCCCCCTTTTACCACCCCCACCGACTCATTCCCAGAGCCACTGTTTTCAAAGGTCCAGTGACATCTGAGTTAGTAATTTGGCACACAGCTGCAGCAGGACACTGGTGTTTAATTGGGCCGTGCCGCTCTGGTGGTTTCAGCAGTAACTGGATTCGGGCCCTTTGCTTCAATCTCGATCCAACAAATCCTCAGCGACTCTTTTAGGAGTTCATGCTCCATCTGGATGTCACAACCTAAAGTGTCTTTTTATGCACATTTTCAATTTGTGTGCGGAGGGTGGCAACACCGGATATTAAAAAAAAAACAACTCAAAATATTTACCTTGGCTGAGGTGAAAAGTTGGTGCATCCATAAAAGCAACGATGCAGTGCAATAAAACAACCATGATGTTGATGACGTTTCTGCTCCATTTTTCTCAAATGAATACATGAAACAAACATTAACGTCATATTACCATCACGTTTTCCGCATCCTTTTCATTCCTTTGAGCTATGACTCGCGCATTTTTAATGACGTCATCGCTGCTGTAATAGCATCCGACTGGAGAACTAACACTAATATTCATATGACAGTAGTGGGTGGAAATGTGCATTTTATTTTGCTGATTTTAAGAACATTTGTTTGAAAATGAGTGTTAAATATGACGTTGAATGGAAACCTGGCAAGACAAGTGCACTTGTGGTGATGACAAAAAGTTTCTGAATACATTTACAGGAATGTACGAGCTGGATGAAAATCTGCAATGACAGATGAATAGTTATTTTTTCATTTTTTTCGTCTTTATATGACAGGTCAGACTATAAAGACACCAGCCAGCTGAGCCACCAGGAAGCCAAATCACAATTTAAAATTCATTAAAGGTGATTGCAGTGTGAGGAAAAGTACTGCAATATTCAGAAACTCCAATTCAGCTGTAACGGCCAAATTTACTCACTGACGAGATGAAAGGTGTCAGCACTGTTTACACAACTGTGAACTCCGGAGCGAACTTCTGTGGCAGCAGCCGAAAGACGTGGCTGCAATATTCTTCTTCTTCTAAAACAAAAAAGGCACTCAAGGGCAGAAATCCCAGAAACACTGGAACACGTATCACTGCTCTCAATCTTTGCACGTACGAGTTTAGTTGGATTTTCTTTAATATAAAATGTAGCAGTTATCAAGAATAATGTCAATTCATACAACAGCATTTCATTTACAGCAGGAAATTCAAAATATTTTCTGGAGACTGTACAAATCTGATTCTGATCGATAAAGTAGATGACAGAGGGGTGAAATATGAACAAGTGAACGAGTGAAATAATATATAAAGAGGGGATTTAATGTGACACTAAAATGAATAAAAGACTCGGGGCGTTAAAGTCCCTTTAAAATGTGTCATTACTGAACACTCATATTACCCTTTTTTTAAAAATGGACATAAATCAAATGTATAAATATTACAGTGGGTGGAAAAGGTAGAATAAACGAACATAAAGAAATTTGGGCAGTATAACCTGAGCTGGACATAAAGCTAGTGTATGAGAGGAAATTCATTCGCACAGTATAAAAACCAAATGGTCAAAATACATCGTTTGGGAAACAGTTTGACTTTGTGAAAATATGCTTATTGTTGTTTTTTTGCCAAGGGTTAGTAATCGATACCACTCTCATGGCTGTACTCTATGTATGGAGCCAGAGGCAGAAGATAATTAGCTTAGCTTAGCATAAACACAACGCATGGGGAGACAACCACTCTGGCTCTCGCCACAGTTTAAAAAATATACGTGTAGCAGCTCCTTTAAAGCTTACAAATTAATAAATAAATTGTTCACGGAGTGAAAACACAAGTTCATAAAACCACAACTTTAGAGCTGCTGCATATTTCCGATCTTTGGACGGAGCCAGGCTAGCAGTTGACCCCTGTTTCCAGTCTTTATGCTAAGCTAAACTAGGCTAAGCTAATCGCCTCAAGGTTCATCAATAATATTATATGCATGAAAGTGGCGTCGACCTTCTCGTCTCACTATAAGTAAGGTGGCAAACTATTCCTTTAAAGTGTCAAATATTGCTCTTCATCATTCATCAGCAAAGAAAGGAGAAGCTACCAGGGGGCTGTACCATTGTTAGTGACAGTAATAATAATAATAATACAGCCAGGATTAATAACTGGCTGCTGTGAAAATCAGTTAGAAGTAAAAAAAAAAAAAAAAAAAAAAGTAAGTCAGTCAGACCGGGAATAGGACTCAAATTAGCAATAAACTTCTCATGCTCATAAAGTCCAGGGCAGCTACTTAGCATTTCTCTGAGTTAGAACCCTGGACGTGTGCTGCAGACCTTCTATTAGCAGCCTCGCTGCAGCCATGTGAATAAAAATAAAGACTCCACCCTAATAAAACACAATTGTGAACATTTTCTTCTAGCAGGCTGCCAAAAAGTGTCCAGTTCTGAGACATTAAATGGCAAAGCTGTTATGTTGGGCACCTTCGTTTGAAGGGCTTTTTTCATAATGCTCCTAAATGGAATATATAACACCTAAATAAAAATGGCTCTCTGTGTGCTTTGTAGGGGGAAAACTAGTCTTGACTGAAAGACGAGACGCCTCGGGTGCGAGGAGCTGTCAGATCGGTGGCTACAGTTGAGATCAGGAGTCAGGATACGTGTATAAAAGGCGGATATTAGAAAATATATTAATTTCTCTTAAATAAAATTACACTTACTGCCCTTTCTCGGGACTGTACCAGACGATGCTTTGTTTGGAGTAACAGTTATGGAAGCATTACAGAAGTACAGAAATACAGTAAGACAGAAGGCAAATATGTTTTCCTCTCTCCCCCTCTCCCCCGTTAAGTGTTCTTTTACAGACATATGCATGTACGTTGTCCAACAAGAAAGAAATGTGTCAATCCCTTTGGTTTCTAATGGCCTAATGTTATAAACACACTAAAGATGGAGTCCTGGTTGGCGCGGTTGCTGATGTGCTGGCAGGACTCGCTGGTGAGGCAATGGTCCAGGCTCGTTCCACGTTCTGGTTTTGGACCGAGGAGCTCCGACCCCGTTGCCATGGCTGTGCGGCCCAGACTGAGACCCAGATTGATGTCCAAGGACCGCGTTCTGGACGGACGCCCCTCAGCCTCGGCCCCTGTCGGATCTGCTCGGACCTGGAGGTCCGCATCCAGACTACGACAGAGGTCTAAATCCAGCCCGATCTCACGCAAAAGCTTCTCTCTTTTTTTTTTTAGCTCCGTGCAGCTCAGGTATGGCGACGCAGCAGTTTTATTCCCGTTCTCCCCACCCCCCCAAACACTAGCAGACATAGAAAGATTTTCAAAAAACCTGCATATTTTCGCCAAAGCCCTTCCCTTTTCTCCTCGTACAGTCCGTGTGGATCTCAGGAGTGAGTCCAGCTGACCGGAACCCATTGGGTCTCCGTCTCCACTTTCTTCAGCGCCAACCGGAGCTCGCCGAAGGCCGCCGAGAGGTCATCGTTCACTATGACCTTCTCGAACAGGTGGCCGTGTTGGGCCTCCAACGTCTGGGCGGCGGTCATCATCTCCTGGAAGTCCTCCTCCTGCAGTGTGCGTGAGAACAGAGAGACAAAAGATGAGAGACACAAAATGCACGAAATGGCGGCAAAACCGAATGGGGGGGGGGAGGAACCGAGGGTAGCCTCGGTAAACAGGAGGGGAGATAAATTCACATACTGTGAACACAAAATAGAACACGCAAATAAACACAAAGTGGCCCGTGTGAAGCCCTTTATAACCTCCCGGAGACACGGTACCCACACATGAACCCTGGCACAGACCACGCACTAAAAGCTCCCCGTGCAGCAACCCGACCTCAAGGAATTTTTATCATTTCCTCACACGGTCGTCCAATTCTCAAAGAAAATACAAAAAAAAAAAAGTCCTCAAAATAAGCAGGGGACAAAAACATAACCGGCATTTCCAAAAGACAGACATGTAAAACATACACTATAGCCGGTCTGGATTTTATATGCGCGATGGGGAAATGACAGCTTGTGGCGACGCTGCTCCACCGTTAGGGACTGGGAGGGATCGGACCGCCTGAACCTGGCCGAATATTTCTCGAAGGTCAGAAGTGTGTGTGCAAAATAGATCTCAAAATGGGCACGAATATATATTACTATGATCTACAAAGGAAAAATAAGATTTAAAAATGTGATGATGAAAATGATTTGACCTAGTTTTCTTTCATAATATCACAACATTTGAACACACGTTCACAGATCCGATCGTGGTCGACCTTCCAAAAGCTTCCTGTGTATACAGAAGATGACTCTAGACTCCATTTGACAGAATCAAAACGCGATTCAACTCATGACTTTGTTTGAGAGTTCAGCGTTTACAACTTGTCCTCCTCCAAAGCATCACGTACAAAGGCACACCTCGATCATCAGCTAGTGTTTAGATGTTCTAAACCAAGAAATACAATAAAGTGAATACACATCTTGGGACTCCATCCAGTTTAGGACTCCACTAACACTTTGCATTACACACACTGACTTACTCAACTTTCATATCGACTTTAAGTCATGAATTCACTTATATTAGGCGAGGCGTTGTAATATAGACTTGATGATTTAAAGAGGATGTCTATGCTTATTTTCTGGTTTGTAATTGTATTCAGTTTTTTTTACTAGGACATGTTTACACGCTTCGGTGTTAAAAAAAACATATTTTTCTCACACGGTCTGTCTGAAACGCTCCGTTTTGGCGCCTGTCTCTTTAAGACCACGTGCTGAAAAAAGCCCGGTCGGCTCTGATTGGCTTGCGAGAGAAATATGGCGCACCTTTTGCAAAGGTAGTTCTTATTCTAATGAGCCTTCCATACTAACATGTCAGTTTTCAGAATTGTGTGCAAAGTTACATTTTTTGTGTGTATTTAATGGAGGAAAACTAATACAGTATTTTTTGGGGGAATGTCACGTCCAGTTCATAATACTGCAATTAGAAAAATATTGCAACGCTTTCGTCAGTGGGTCATAGGCTCAATGTGTTACCTTGACTTAACAGACTTTTATATAAATGAAAATCTTTGAGATTGCCACTTTAAATTAAGTAATGGTTTACTAATTCAGTGGGTGAATGAATGAGCTAGTTCACGACATATTACGGGCTAGGGTTCGCTTTGTTAAGCACACATCCATTTAAAAAGGTGCCTCGTCAGCACAACACGAGAGAGCTGCATGAAATCCCTGCATGCTGCTGCACTGAGGTTTAAATAGGGGTCCTTCGGGGTGGGGGGGGTGAAGACTTTTTCCAGGTCCATATGCAAATCAGCCGTCCAGTGTACAGAACAAAACCACGTGCTAACTGTGAGGGGTAGCCAAACAGCATATTTTTATCAGGGTGGGAGTCAACACGTCGCCTATCTCGGCTCCTGTATTCATAGACGGAGCGTTCTGAGACAGCCCAGGTATCTCTCCCCGGTGGTCCCCTCTGAGGCTGCCAGCCCTGTGGGTCCTGGCAGGTGCGGCCTTTGGGTGCAACAGCGGGGCTAAAGTGGCTGCACTGATTTAGCCTCGTGTTTTTCCTGGAAACGCTCAGCTGTAGATTTCTGGACAGATATGGTTTTTATAGTGAGCCCCTTTTGCCAAACACACAATTATAAATACGCACAGATGCACATTCATGTGCATGAAACTCAAATTGCGCGCACGCACACACGCACACACGCACACACACACACACACACACACACACACACATGCAAGCAGGACGGAGCTGCTCGCAATGTGTACGCACATAAACGCAGCCTCGCTAAAGCTTCAAAGTCCCAAGCCAAGGAGTCGCTTCAGAATGTTTCTGGTGGGTTTTCCGCTTCGTAATGGATTCGTTGCGCGGCTAAATATAACCACTCACTCGCCGTGACACTCGGCAAAAAGGCCCGTTTTCTGTTTGTTAAAAATAATCTCCCTTACAGACAGAGGGTTTTGTTGGGCCGCAGGAGAGAAGTCTTCCGCGGCGGGACTGTGATTCCTCGTCATCTGGACCGAAATCCGGTCTCTCACTGTTGGGACTTCACAGATGACCGCCGCGTGCGACGCACACAACACCTCGGACCGCTCCTGGCAACTAAACATACCCAGGGAGCTGTTTTGTGTGTGTGAGTGATGTTTCCATGCCCGTCAGCGGGGTCACTGTGTCTGTCTCTCGTTAGACGGTTCCAGGTAAAAGAACATTAATCACAGCGGGACGCCGCTTAAGGGACGGCGAGCTGGGTGGAGAGATGGAAAAGAGAATGAGAACCGGTGGGGAGAATATAGTGAGAGATGCAGGGTGAAGGAAAAGAGACGGATGTAAAGAGAGAAAACTGAAAGCTGGGCGGGTGAGTGGATATTCTCTTGGCGTCCGCTGCTCCGCGCTGGAATCGCTCTCCTCAGAGGGCAGTTTGAGCCGATGCCACTTTAAGGAGGGCCAAACTGGAGAAACGAGAAATCGTTCCTCCCCGCTGCCATTAGATCGTTTAATTTCCACATGAAACGATGGAGCGTCTTGCGCCTGTTTAAGCGCTCTGTTCTGGATAAATGGCCGTTTTTACTGCACAAAATGAGGCCGCTGACTCCCAGTTTGGTTTGACCATTGATGTTTGCCCGGGCTGCAGATTTTAAAATCATTGTCAAGCTTTTATGGCTTTGTATTGTTTAATCATTTTCCTGATTGCAGTTATTTGTGATTTTACTGTGTCCGTTTTACCGTGTTAAGAGGAAAACGTCGCCTTACAGGACTCATTTTCAGTGGCACAAAACAGCGTGCGTATCACCCCCCCTCCTTTATTAATCTACATAACACACGCCTGTCCTCTCTTTCTCTGAATAAGCATCCAAAGCCAAGCAGATCTCTACAAATCAGCTTTAAATGACTGCGGTAACATCACATTACAGCCTGAATCATGCGTTGCATTGTTGGGTTTTTCTACATTGAGCTTCAGCTCCTTTTAAAAAGAGCTACCCCCCCCCGAATCATCTCCAGTTCCAAATAAAGTCAGACTGCTCTGCTGAAACAATGAGACGACTGTTCCCCCCCCGGCCTTCATCATTAAAGCAGACCTGTCTGTTTTAGAGAGAGAAATACAGCTGGCGGGGGACAGAATAGGTCTGAGACGACCTCGCTCGACAGCACCGAGGAACATGTACACAGAACCCGGTTTGTTACCCGGCTGAGTTTTATGGAGGCGCATTTGTATGTCTTGAGAGAATAGCAGAGGCTAGTAAAGGGACAGAGAGTAATAACAGCTCCGGCACGGGTTGGCGGTAACCATCCTGTTTCTGACGGCTAAAGCTCATCGTTCTCTGGACCCCTGCTGGGAGACGAGGAGCAGACGGGGGCCGAACGAGGTGCGACTAGCGCAAGCTGACTTTGTGTCTGCAGCGAGGTTTTAAAAAGTCCGGCGGTGAAGTCAAATATCGACGGGACGTTGTGTTCGACTGTGACCGAGCTGCACGCCCCCCCGCTGCATGTGTGGCGGCAGCACCTGAGTGTGTGTGTGACACGCTGAGGGGGGAGGATGAGTCTGGGGAGTGCCGTTAGCCCGACAATATGACTCGAGTTAAAAACAAGAGCCTTTCAGTGTCATACAACGCTACAATAGATGCTATGGTATGCTATGCTATAACATAGACGCTACCTCAGCTAACATTAATACAGATGCATCTTGGGAGCTGCATAAACTTGAACTTTGCCCAGGCTTTCCCATCATGCCCCTTTGCTGCTTCACATAGAACATGAAGGGGAGCCGAGTTCAGTGTGTGGTGGAATGAGAAGGCTGTTAGGAATGGTCAAACATTGTGAATTGTTTTGGGTTTTTTTTTGAGTTGCAACATGAGGTCAGCACTGAAGAGGTCTATTTTTTTATAGGTGAAGTTCAAGTCCCGATTTCATTCGGATGCGTACCATGCGGACCAGAGGTCAATGAAAAGTAAAACTTTAAATATTTAAGTGATTTGGCAATTTGGTTATGGCAGCCAGGGACTTTTTAATCTAGGGGTGGGGGCTAAAGAGGGATGGGGAAAGTAAGCAGGAGGTGGGGAATATTAAAAGGAGTTCAAACTGATGGTTCACATGTGATTTGCATACGTTTCCAATAAAGAAACGTACAAAACCACAGCTGGAAGAGGTGTCTCACTTCTGCCCGCCATGTTGGATTTACACCTGCGGCTCACATCCCATCACCGTCTCCACCGATACCACTACTTCACTCATCCTCACGTTGCCAGTTCGTCTCCGTTTCTCTGACAGGCCCGTCTCGTCTCTTCCCCTCCCTCTCCCTCTCTCTCTCTCTCTCTCTCTCCTCGTGGTGTCCCGCCAGGCCCTCCGCGGTGCGTCGCTGACCGAAATCTTGGCCTTCGCGCTGCCTGCAGGCGAGCGAGACACGCGCTCCCCCGCCCGCACGCCGCGTGGGGCTGGGAAAACCATCATCCACCCCCACCCGGCAGCAGCACCAAACGCAGGCTAATTGGTTTCATCTGCATCGGGGGCCGGGATGGAGGCGTGTGAGGGATGACCTCATCACTCACGCACACACATAATGTACACACAGGGTCCAGATAGTGTTGCTGATATTTCTTCTTGCTGCTAATCTGCTGTGTGTTTCTTCAGTATTACACTATGACATCATTGTATAGAGCTTCATAAATAACTATAATTGATGGTTGCATTGTGGTTGAACACCATTTGTATCTCCCCGGCCGCTTGTTTAAAATCCCTCCTTATTCTAACTTACTGTATATCCTATTATCTGTTTCCTGTTATTTTCTGTTGTAGCTGTCCACTTTCCTCACAGGGGTCATTCAACTTTCATCTAACTTAATCTCATCTGAGACAACATGTCATGCTGATCGATGTCGGACTCAGTGTGAGAGATAAACGTTCCCCTCGCGTCCTCTTACCGTGAAAGCCCTGGCGGACCCCTTGTCGTCCTTGCCCGATATGATTTTGGCGTTCTGTCTGGTCTCCCTCAGTCTCTCGAGCGCTGGAGGCTTCACCAGCACGACAAAGGGCTTAAACTCCGCCGTCCGCAGGAGCTTTAAGGTCTGGAAATAAATATGAATTATGAGATCGGGTTGCTGTGTGTTGAAGGGTGAAGGGGAGACACTACAGCTGAATAGGGTCAACAATGTATAACAAATATATATCGCTGTGAGACTTCCCCAGTTGATTACTTAGGCTACATTAAGATGATAAATCATTATTATTTTACTTTAATATTTTTGAAAATGTATGTTTAAATATACTGTTTTGGCATCATCTCATCAGACAGAACAGAAATCTGAACATTGGAAAAAGTCAGGTTCCAAATTCTTCTTTCAATTTGTTGACATATTAGCCTTTTTTGGTTTTTACTGAGGGAATCTTGGATATCTCTTTGGATCACTCCGTAAATCAGAAAATACTGTCAACAGCCATGTCACCATGTTTTTAGGAATAGAATGTTGTATAAATCAGGCTATGAATGATATATGAACAAAGTCCTCCGTAAAAACCTTCAGAACATAGAGACGTGTTTGGTGTATGTAAGTGGATTTCTGGATCAGAGTCAGAAACCCCCCCAGGTGAATAGAGGAATTTAACTATTAACCAATAGAAATAACCATAACACTTCCCCAAGTTGATTACTGACAATAACAATTATTTTTTGCATCACAAGTTTTCTGAAATATGTTTAAATATGCAAATGAGGCAACGCTAATGCAAATTGTAAACTGTAAAATAAACCCCTACATGTATGAAAGAAGACATGAGAGAAAAAATGGCCAAAAACTCAAAGTTGACCAGTGCATGAAAAACAACGTTTATGCCCGAGGTGTGTCTCCTTAAAAGCCAACCAGTGGTTGAATGGTTTGTGAAACTAAGGGCAGGCCTCTGCCACATGGACTTGTGTAGTACATGTGGTTCTTTTGGAAGATACTGGAGGACAACTTTCTGCCCACATCTGCCTTCTTGCCTCTTATTTCTGGTGACAATTGCACGACACGGCACCGCCCATCTGCTTCTCAAGAAGTGGGAGAGAGGTCAGAGCTGGTTAGCGGTGGCGTCAGGCGAGCTTCGGGCTCTCCCCTGGCAATCTGGGCGTCCCGCCGTGCTAACGGGCGGTGGGTCTGAAACCCGCTACTGATAGCAGGACGGATAAAAAGCCAAAGGAGGGGCAGGAGAGGAACCACTGGGAGGCGTATGAAATAACATGCTCCGACACAGCCAGTGATCTGATCCATGAGTCGTGTTGTGGAGGTAGAGACGGGGGGCTTACACAACACCACAATTGTATGCCAAATGCAGTAAAAAAAAAAAAAAAAAAAGCACATACATAAATGCACAAACACCCACATGAGCTTCCACAGGCTCTTTCTCTCAGACATTAGCCGAGGGCTCTGGGGCCGACTCTCAGGTTTGAGAGCCTGCCAGGCTAATCTATATAATGGTGCGTTAGTGCCCGTCATTATCCGCTGAGTGAAAACAAACAGGGAGGAGCTGGCGGGGCAGAGCACGGGGGCGATACGGTGGGTTTCGCCGGGCTAAGCGACAAGCTGGGGCCATTGTTTCGTGGGGTTTGATCACCACTACACCCAAGACACATAAGCCAAAGAGGAAATCTTCAAATAGAGGAAATTAGAGTTAATTACTCCCGGTAAAAACCCCCGAAAAAAACACTTTGGTAACCCAGTAAGCAGCCAAGGCCTCAGGAAAGCCGGGGACGAAAGAGATCTGCTTCTGAGGTATCACAAGGCTACAAGAAAAAACAGAGAAGTGAGGGACAACTGTCGGCGAGATGGAGAGGACGAGGTCTGTGTCACTCACAGGAGGCTGGACATCCAACAGGCACACTTTGTTCTTGGAGAGGACGGAGCGTACGGAGTCTAGACTCGTGCCGTAGTAGTTCCCTTTGTACTCGCCGTAGTCGATGAACCTGAGAGGTGAGACGGAAAGAGATGGAAAGAGAGAAGAGATGAGAGGATTGTTAAATAAGAAAACACAATGTTTTGAGCAGGGCTTAGTTATCTAATGCAACACTAATGTCCCTTCAGAGAGTGACATTACAATCTTTTCCCAATCTGGTCTACTGCGTCAGCAAAACTCCTGAGATATTTGATGTATAAAAACTCTACAAATCCACAGAGACGGAAGGATTACCCTCTCGACCGCTGACAGATCTGAAGATAGCATCCTCCAGCAGAACTTAAAAACCAGATCATAAACGGCAAAACCTTTCCTCATTTTAATCCACCAGGACTTTAACCCCGCCAAGCAAAACACGTCTCCACCAGATAATCTTCCCCCTTTTGACATCAATCAGCTGTCGCGGGAGGACAAAAACTGGTCTATTTTTTTTAGCAGAAAACAAGGAGGGAAAACGGGCAGCAAGGTGAGTAACAAGGTGGAAAGAATTTGAAGCTAATAGTGTGGCATGCATGCAGTCTGCTCATGACGAGCGCCGGGCAGAGTGACTGATGCCATGTAAAGAGAATGTTTTATGGTAATTGCCCATGTAAGAAAGTTTTACTCAGCGTTTTTTAAAGAAAGGAGGCTCTATAAGAAACCTCATTTTCGGTTATGGGAAATTCATTTAAGAACTTACAGTAGCCTGCGTAATTAAAAAAAAAACGTTTGTCGTGAGAGGTGTGTGGATGAAGGTGAGTTAGCCAGTGGAGGTTTTTTGGCTATTTTAAGGAGCATGAATCTTGCTGCCGTTTTGAGACAGAACAGGGCATCCCTTGGGAAAGTCGTTTGAGCTAAACTCACAATGTTGTTTTCTTTCTCTATCCCTGCATTGTTTCTGCTGCATGCGATGAGGCTTAACGCAAACAAGTTCACCTCGCTCCTCGTCTTCTATGTATGCTGCCCTGTAATTTCCGCACCGCGTGTCCCACGCATTCCGCCCCACATCAGAGCTCTGTCTCTCGCCCCTCCGACTCCGCCTAAAAGCATCGCATGCCTCCGACCCACACCGCAACACGGCCTAAATATACAACCCCCCCCACTTTCCCCTTCTTCTCTCTGCATGCTCTGACACTCTATATGCCCTCGGCCACCACAGGCTTCCCCTCTGTGTCACACTCGTGTGTGTGTGTGTGTGTGTGTTTGCGTGCATAAATGTTTTGCATGTGCACCCCTACAGTATGTCTTCTCCAGCTCGTGTGAGACCGGCAGAAAGGCATCAATCATTCTTATGACTGTTACAACTTGCATTTCAATTTGTTGGCCGCAAATGTCAAGGCGGTCAGAGAGAGAGAGAGAGAGAGAGAGAGAGAGAGAGAGAGAGAGAGCGAGAGAGAGAGAGAGCCTGATGGGGAAGGAGGAGGCAGAGACACGAGACCTCTGGATCTGGAGATCGGTGACCGACACGGGGCCCGTCCTGTCAACGCCAGCTCGCGATAGAGTTACAGAAACACACGGAAGACAGCGGGGGAATGAACGGTGGCGGCGAGCGCTGGTCGGGAACCATCAGACCACCGCGCAAAATTCCTGCTTGAACGTGAAGATTTGCTTTTTTTAATGTTACAGAACAGTTTATATCTTTGTGGTGAATAATCCATTGACTGAAATAGATGGAGTCATATTATTTATGAGTATTTGAAGACACTGGAAACAACTTCATGGCCCACCACGATAAAGGCGGTGTAGCTGAAAATGTTTTTACTTAGTATATATATAAAGATATGTTTGCGATGTGGGGGAATTACCACTGCCTATGGGAAAGTTGTAGGGGAGGTTTTATGTTTTCAAATTCGTAGATATTCCCATACCGTATGTAGTCCATGTCTACTGTATGAAGTTAGAATCTATTCAAAGGTTGACCAGTTTGTTGGCTCAGTCTTTAGTTTTCTCCTTTACTTATACCGTGCACAGTCGTGCTTACTTGTTATTGTGGATATCCGTCTCAAAGAGATGTTTGGAGATGAAGTGGTACTCAACGCCGTCGCTCTCCTGTTTCTTCTTGGCCCGACTGGTGTCTGAGGGAGAGAGAGAGAGAGAGCGAGAGAGAGAGCGAGAGTGATTACCTCAAACCCAGACAGTCTGACTCACTGTTGGGTCTGAAAGCATCTGAACTGAGCCCCTTGTTAACGCGGCAGACACGCAGCACGCTGGGCCATGCCAACCCTTGTATATATTATTGTGTAACAGCACTATAAAACACACAACCTGTAGCGCTGCGGCACTAAACTCAGACACTTAAGTGACATTTGGTGGGTTTTCGTTTTTTTTACTGCATCTTATTAAACGTGTCTCTTGTAGAAACAGAAGCCGTGGCGTTAGCCGGCACTGTTAGCCGCTGCAAGGTAACTGAGTTTGGGAGCTCTCATTAACATCAAGTCTCTACGTTTACTCGGCCGTAAACCGCTGTAAAAAACGGGCGGCACGTGGAGGGAACGTGAACAGGCCGCACTGGAGGACTTGCGAGGGTCAAGGGGTCAAGGGCCCTGGCTCATTTCGGGGAAGGTGCTCCAAAAAGGTCAGAGGGGAGAGCGTGCGGCCTGTCACAGACGCATCCCCGACCAGCTCCAAAACAAAACTATTAAACTTTCAAACTGCCAGGCTGTTGTCAGCACGTGTCGAGGCTGCGCCCCGTTAGCGGACCGGTGCCTTTCCTTTACGCGCTCCAGACTGATCCACAGGCTTCGTGGAAAACCAACGGTGTGATTTATCCAACGTGTCACTTGCTTGAGAAGGAAAGACGGCCGTAAATCCAGCTGCGGTGGAGAGGACACTGAGGAAGATCAACGGCTTTCTGTCGTCGCGCCGCCAGACGACGGTACAGGAAAAACTCGAGGAGAGGGCCAAAACTGGCCTTGTCATAAGATAACATATATTTAGACTCAGATATGTGCGAGACACGGCCAACGGCATCATCCACCGATGCGTTATTCTGTGGCACAGAAAATAATTACAGTGCGACAAAAGAATGTGCATCCGTTCAATCCCAAACCAGTGGAAAATATCAGTAAACTTGGATTGGGATCAAAATGTTTCACCTCCCTACTCTAATGGCTTACTGCAGCGCTCCCTGTGTTCCTCAGACGGCTGGTTTACATTTTACAGCGACAAGCAGAGTGAGAGGGAGAAAAAAAGATCTTCGGCGGGGCCACAAGTCGGTGGTCTCCAAAGCTCCGGTTTTCAAATTAACAAAAAAAAAAAAAAAAGGGGGGGTGGTATGGCTTAATCCGAAACAACAGCAAGTGTTAAACGCATCCATGTGTCCGTTGGCAGCAATCAAACATTTAAAAAGAGGCAGACCAGATACTTTCCTTCCTCTCAACGACAGCCACACAGTGCGACTTCTATGTGGGTCAGAATGAGGCTGTCTGGGCTCAATTAAACACAGCATCACAGGTCACATTTGAGAACAATTAACATGCCTCAGTGGAAAAAAAGAAAAAAATAGGCCCCACCGATGGGATTTTAATACCGGGGGACATTGACTTGGAAACATCTATTATGCCACACGGCGTGCAAACAACACAGCAATTAATATCAGTGCTGCTCGTATTTCCTCAAAGTCATGTTGCAGTTTCCCTCCGAGCCCCCCAGATGGTGGCTACGCAACTACTAATGCCACCGCCCTGCTCACATGTATAAATCAAAAAGATTTATTTGTCCCGATGTGCTGGCTTTGGGACACCTCAGAACTGAAAAAGCTTGGAGAGCCAGTCGTTTTGGATGTTGTTCATTGTGGCGAGCTGTCGTTGAGGCAGAGGAGGAAGGAGACGGAGAAAGACAGGAAGAGAGTGAGAAACAAGCCGAGACAGAACGGACAGAGCGGGTAGCTCGGCGCCAATTCATGAGGTAGTGGAACGCATGTCTTCAGGAGGTAGAAAAATGCGGTTTCCTCCGTCATTCGGTGCTCGTCAGGCCGACTGTGAGGAGCTGACACCGGTTACTCCCTGCCAGACAGCTCCCTTTTTATGTGTGTGTGTGTGTGTGTGTCAGACTGGACCTCCATTGCTCAAACAGCAGCAGCATTCTCACACACTGTGTTAGTTAAGATAAACATCCATCACCTAAAGTGGTTATTTTTTGATTTGGTTTCCACCGTGTTTGTCTCTGTCCACAAGTGTACAAGACGCTTCTTTGGCACAAACGGATTGATACCAGTAGTTCAGGGAGGCAATTAATCCCCATGACAACACAGCTGTAGTGGTGTTGTTTTTTCATTCCTCCAGAAAACAACAGCTCGCCAACACCTTCACTTTCATGCTTATTCCATCTCTCTGAGCATCTCGATGTGTTTAAAGTAAGTCGTCCTGAGGTCACATCAGTTGTACTGAGAGCTCGCCTACTGCGAGACATGTTTACACAACATAGAAATACTATAAAGTTTGGTTACTGCTTGTGGCCTAGTGGTTAAGAATGCAACGCCCCTGTTCCACTTCCTGCATGTTTTACTCCTCTCTCTCTCCTCCTGTTTCCTGTTTGTAGCTTGACTCGTTATCAAAATAAAATAAAAATTTGAAACAAAATAAAATATAAATAAATGTAATTCTAACTTTCTAGAAATAAAAAAAAGGGGCCTGATCTAAAGACAATATATATATAT